CATAATCGAGTCTAGGGGTCGGGTGTAACTTTCCAGTTTTGCCCATCAATCTCCAAGGTCCAGGGCAATACTGGAAATCTGGTCCARTTCATAGATTCAATTAATCCTATACTGTGTGTGCTTAGGGTCTCACCCTGGCAGTTGAGACAAGCCACCCCAACCGATTTGGTGGCACCACAGTGTCAGCTTTGTCAGGATAGGTTTCCCCAGACCGATCCACTGGTTGTGAACATTCTAAACTAACACGAGTCTCATTAAATGTCCAGTTTAAGGGTATTACATAGAAACATACCAAGGGAACATGAATCAAATATGCACTTTTATTCATTTACAATAAACTCATAAAGTACATCATTCTAATTGAAATTAAGGGCATACAAAACTGTCTAACAAGCTATATAAAAAGGAAAGTTTGAAGCTCAGTAATTAAAAAATAAAAGATTTTTTTATACTATTCTATACATAAGAAAGTATAAACACAACATCCCGTGCATTGCATGGGTCATTGCTAGTGTGTGTAAAGAGAGAGAGAGAGATTTATGGAATACTTTTATGTAATTAGGTTGGGTTCGTAATATTTAAGGCAAATTTATAAGTGGTACATACTACATCATTTTTTAGAGAATTAGAAAATTGGAAAATCTATATCTGTACTAATATTAAAAGTGTGAAACTTTTGTTTAAATAAAATACCCCAATTTTTGAATTTGGCCATTCTTTAATTGTAAAGAAAATATGTAACTTGAACAATCACTTTTTCTCTTCATTCACAATCTTCTCATTAAGTTTTATATTTAAGGTATTAATTCCGATTAACATTAATTGAATCATATTCTTTACTAGAATACCCTTATTTTTGAATTTGGTAACTCTTTAATTTAATTGTGAGGGCACAAAATGTAATTTGAACTATGACATTCTCCTCATTCAATTCCCTCTCATTAAGTGTGGCAAAAAATAGTTGTTTTTATTGATAATAGAAATAAAATATAATTTTAAAACCAATCCAAAATGGATTTATTTTCTTGTTTGGTGGTGAGTCAACAATTTAACCTTTTGGGTCAAATGTGTTAACCCTAGGTGTCCCAATTAAGTAATAATAAAAATTAAAAAAGATTAAATTAAAGCACATAAAAGTATAAAATACAAAAAGCTTTATAGACCTGGGATCAAATCCCGCTGCCACCAGGGGTTGGGA